CGCAGAGAAAGCCAAGGCGGAGGAAGAGGCGGCGGCGGAGGAGAAGAAGGTGAGGATCGAGCGAGTCTTGCGGGCCTTCCTGACGCTCGTGCAGGCGGCCAGTGCGAACGAGAAGGCGGAGAAGGAGGAGGAGGAGGCGAAGTCAGCAGGGCAGGCAGCAGCTGGTGAGAGGCGAAAAGCTCGTCAGGCTGTCTGACAGTTGCTGCAGAGGCGAAGGCGATAATGATGAAAGAGGAGGACGAAGCTAAGGTACCTCTCCTCCTCCTCCTCCTCCTGGTTTTCTTGGACTTTTCCCTTATCCTCCTCTGCGACCTCGTCCTCCGTCCTCCCCCCCCCCTTCCCCCCCCACTTTCCTCCTCGTCCTCCCTTTCCCTCTGTTTCTCTTTCGTCTCGTATTCTTCCTGCGCTTCTCAATTTCGTCCAGGCTGCCCATGAAGCAGCGGATTCAGCCAACCAGAAGGAGGAAGAGGCAGAAAGGAAGCTGGCAGCTGCTCTTGCTCGCGGTGAGTGGGGACAGGAGGGAAAAATGTCAAGAGGAGGAACGAAGACAACAACAGGAGTGGGAGGAGGAGGAAGAGAAGGATTGGGAAGAGTATGAGCAGCAGCAGCAGGAGGAGGAGCAGCAGCAACAGCAACAGCAGTTCTCACAGCGAGACACTTTCTCGCACTGACTTTCTCGCAGCTGAGAAGGAGCAGGAGGATGCGAAGTCAGCAGAATCGCTGAACAATCAGAAGCTAAAAAGCGGTCTGTCCCCTCCTTCTTCTCCCTTCTTGTATTCCCTCCTATCATCTTCTGTCCCCCTTCCTCCCAGCCCCCTCACCTCCCCTCCTTCTACTTCCTCCCCATCCCCATGCTCATCATCTGTCTTGTTTCCCCATATTCACCACCTCCTCTCCTCTTCTTTCTCTTCTTCCTCTTCTTCCTCTTCTTCCTCTTCTTCCTCTTCTCCTCGGCTCCCGTCAATCTTGACTGAAAGTCCTCCAGCCACCGAGCAGTTCGTTCAAGCCTCTCAAGAAGCTGCTCGAGCACAGGTAAAGTTCAGGGGCACAAGATGAGGAGGGAGGAGGTGGAGGAGGTGGAGGAGGCAGAGATTTTTACGAGATTGTGCTGTACAGGAGCGAGCAGACGAGCTGGAGGAACAGCTCAAGGAGGCGCAGGCGATGATGAAGGCTGCTCAAGCTAGAGCTGAGATGTGAGATCCACCCTGCTCATTCCCCTACCTCTCTCATTCATCCTACCCCCTCCTTCCTCCCTTCCATTCCTCCCTCATTCATCCCCCTGCTCTTCCTCCCTCCTCCTTCCTCTTCTTCCTCCCTCATGCACCCTCTTCTCCTGTGTTCTCTTGCCTCTGCCATGCATCTCCTTTCGATCTTCTTTCACCTCCTTTACTCGTTTCTGCAGGTACTCTGCTTCTGCTGCCTCCAATGCAACAGCGCTTGCTCAGGAGAAGCAGGAAGCTCAGGTCCTCCTTCTCTTCTCCTACCACCACCTCCTCCTCCTCCTCCTCCTCCTCCTCCTCCTCCTCCTCCTCCTCCTCCTCCTCCTCCTTGCTCTCTCGCTCGCTCGCTGCACGAATGCTTCATATAATTTTTCTCCTCCTTCATCTTCATTTCTCTTTATCGCGCTCATTCGCTGCTGATCCTGCAAGCAGGCATGGAAGGAGGAGCTCGAGCGACGAGCAGCAGCAGCGGAGGAGGCGACAGCCAAGGTCAGACCACCTCATCCTCATCATCCTCATCCTCATCATCCTCATCCTCATCATCCTCATCCTCATCCTCATCATCCTCATCCTCATCCTCATCATCCTTATC